ATGGACTCACATGGGTGGGCATGTTCATGTTAATGTGCCAAATACAAAGAGTCATATCAGCAAAGTTTTTAAAGCTACGTATCTCTTGATATTTTCTGTTTGTCTAAGATTTCTGCCTATCTAAGAACTCCACACTTCCCTACATTGTTCACATTTTCATTCCTAGTTTTTAGCAAAGTTTGTCTACAATCTGCCGTGGGTCTATTCCAACCCTCTTGCACTCTTTACTGCGGTCATATTTCAAGTTTTATGTGAAAGATGTCGACACAGAGTATTTCAGTGAATTTTATGATGTCTTTGAGTGTTTTAAAACTGTGCCCCGAAACTTCTGTACCATAAAACAAATAATTTGAAAAATAGGAAGAAATCATGACCAATACTGATGACTGACAGATGACCTTGACAAACAGTTTAGTTTGATAGACACACTAAGGCATACTGTAAATGTTCCAAACTGGATATTCTGAATTGTTATTTTGATACACTGACTGTGTGGGACCTTAGTACTGTTGGACCTTTCATAAGCAGACTGCCACGAATTTTTACATAATGTTCAGTCTGATCTGTTCTTTCTTAACTGACAGCTAGTCACAGTGTAATAACTCACAGGCTTATAAATTGTTATTAAAAGAAAACCTCTTAATAAAAGGGACCTGTACAAGTTTGTGAAGTAGCATCGTCCAAACATCAGCTGATGTTGATACACGGTACATACAGAGACTCAGAGCATATAACAGTGCCTCATGTTATACGTCTAATTGTCCATGTTGTGTCTGTTTCTTTCACAGGAGAGGAAGCTGTGTGCCTTTCCGACTATTGAGATCTGTAGTTCAGATGTCATCAACTATATGGTTCCACTGTCTCGCCAGACAGACTTCTTTGTACCAGAGATGAAGGAGGAGGTTAAAACTGATGTTAAAGAAGAGGACTCTGACGAAGACAGAGGAACTGACATTACAGGTAATTCCAATACAACACTGTTGTTACCTCACTGTTGAGCTCTCATTAGGAAATACTTGCAAGCGTTATCCAAAAAAAGTTTGAAAAACAGATTCATGAGATTGTAATTGTTTTTTGTATTTGTTTTGTCACCTAATTGTAGTCTAATGAAGTGTGTTGATAGAAACAGGTTTCTGCTCTGTTGAGACTAAATCTTTTGTCAGTTAGAAGCAAACAAGCTGTAAATATGTGGCAACTTTTATTTTGTCTGACACTCCCCTCCTGCCCTTGATCACTGAGGACATGTGATATATGAGACTCTGTAATTGTCCTGTCACTGCAAGTATGTTTCTTCAAGCGCAATGTCTTCTCTGCTGCTATTACTCTTTCAAACTTGCTGGACCCGTAGGCTGGACCTATGGCAGTATTGACTTTGTCATTGTACAAATCACTAGAGAAAGAGAATGGTGTTCTTGATGGGACAGAGTGGGTGGAGGTGGGCTGATGTACGTCAGGTCCTGTCTACTTTGAGCTTAGATCATGTTACATGCCTTGGAAACACAGCTTAAATATAAAAGACGTATCAGGAAGAAGGACCTACATGTTATGGATTTTGGGGTGTTTAGATTGGGGTTCCCAGTGAAGCCACTATGCATTGCCTCTCAAAGGTAAAGGTCTTTCTCCACACAGAAACATCACTTGTTGGCTGTGGAGCCAGTGATATTCTGCTGAACTGAGAGTCAGAGCTATTCACAACTTTAAATTAGTTTGTCAGCCTCACCAGACCGAGACAAAGTTTTGATTATTGCTTGCCTTTCTAACAAATGAGAAAGTTAATAAGACAAACTAAAGTGCTAGAAAACATTCAGTACGGTAATTTTGATAAAATTAAATCCATCTTGCATGTTTTTTAATCCTTTAATGATGGTGTCTTTCTCCCCCAGTATATACACACTTACTCAAATACACACATAAACACACTATCTCCAATGTTGTTATTTTCACTCTCCTTTATTAAACCACCATCATTTTCCATTTTGAATCTTGTTTTGAAATAAAGAAGCGAAGCAATTTCTCCATACAATTTGAAATGGCTTTTAACCATATTTTTGAATTTGGCAAATTCAATAAACTATTGTTGAACACATTTTGTTGATTGCCTCAAGATTTCAAGCAAAGTGGAGCTTCAAACAAACATGATGATTGTTGTTGCTGTTTAGATGAGCTCATAAATTTCATCAGCAGCACAACATTAGAAGAGACTGCATGTTTATTAGCTAAATTATACTAGAAATTAGAGTGAAGTGTAACTACTGATTGAGTTCCAGAAAGGGTGGGATATGAATACTAACAACTCGTGCAGCGTAATCCTGAACAGCGTTGGCAATGATTAGTCAAAAAGCTGTTCTGTCTTTGAAACACAGGGATCCAAAAGCAGTTCCAAATGTTTATTTGTGATTTCTTCTAAACATGAAAAGTATACATTACAAAGACAACATTACAAATGAGATCATTAGCATTTGACAATGTGACACAAATGTGATACGAAACAATCCATTAAACAAAAAGAAATATAAACAACATTAAACAAGATCATAATAGAGAATAGAGAGTGTCTTGGTTCAGCATTCAGGTGGTTTGGTGGGAGTAACTTCCTGCGAGTATCTACACAGGGAGTTGGGTGTGGCAGCTAAAGGTGGAGCTACAGTAAGCATGAAGAGTTGTCGTTTAACTGTGGCAGGCAATATTGGCTAGGTATTTACTGCAGTGTTTAAAATCTTATTGCAAAAGTCAAATTTAGGTTTATCACATTGAATCAAATAGTTTGAGCGTTAAATAAATATCAGCCTTTGGGATCACACTGCAGGTGATTGCTACAATAACACTTCACACGTGTTTTAAACACGGTTTAAAGGAATGTCAGATTTTTATTTATTCCCCTCATGTAGCATTCAACACACAGGGCCAGTTTATTGTTCACAGGAGGGCTGAGAAGGAGCTATGTGTGATTGGAGTTTCAAGAGTGACAGATTTTTTTATTGCGAAGTGAAGTGTTACTTTTATCAGAATTTATACAGCTGCACTATATATTGTGCTTTTGCAGTACCCACCTGTAACTGGAATGTAAACTAATCTTGGTTGTTTCTTTGGAAAGTTTTGTTGAATGGTTTTAAATCAGATTTATTTTCAGATGAAGAAATGTTCTCGGTGAGGTGAGCATTTTCTAAAGTGTTCATTATTCGCACAGTCAGCACATGTATTGTATGTTATACAACAAGAAGAAGGCAGATGTTGAGGGTGCATGAATGATTGTCTACTTGTGTGCAGTGTCCCCACTTCATGGCTTGTGTATCTCTATTACATGAGTTATAGGGCTCAGTAGCTGCTGTCACAAGTAGACTGTACAAAATAAAGTGTGTGTGTGTGTTTGTGTTTATGTGCTTGGCCCCAGACACAGCTGAGCTTCTTAATGAGAGACAGATCAATCAATGGAGTCTAAGCTTTGTCTGACAAGCCAGCTGTGGAAATCCTGCTCCAGCACCTGGGAGATTGCCTTCGACTTTTCATCCCTCAACTCCACTGTCCACTTTATATAGACCGCCTTGACCATAAAATGACTGTGCCTCGAACATTTGTCCTGCTTCCACCACCACAGCACACTGGGAGCAGTAAACACCCAAACAAAATGAAAACACTTTTATGATAATCTGGTGATCACAGCGGCCACTGTTTGTGCTGTGAGAAACTTGTTAATCTTTTGAGGACATAAACCAGCCTCAATGTAAAACGGGCCAGCGGGCTTAATTTTTATACCATTTATACCATTGATAAATGTTCACAGAAACATCACTGGAGAGTTATTGGACCCAGCTAAGATACAAACATTACAGAATATAGTAGGCTTGTTAAACTTATGGACAAACTTGAAAGCGGTAATTGTATATATGATTTAATATTTATGTATATATCATGAAGTCTATAATTACACATTGTTGATAATAATGCTTGAAAGTAATGGGGAGGTATCAGTTGCTATGAGACAATAACTTTCCACCAACCTGTTTTTATGCACCAGAAATAAAATAAAAAGTCAGAATATGAAGTTTTCTAAGATACATGAAACATGTGGCTTCAACTGGAGGGACAGAAAACATCAGATCTGTGTGGACTGATGAGGAGACAGTAACCTTCATCATTTTACCATATGAAGCTTGCATACTGTTATATGAACAAGAACTCATTAATATTTAAAAATGTTAACTGTACACTAAGTCCACTGCAGGATTTATTTTTTGTATTTATTGCAACAAAACATGTGCATATTTGCAATAGAGCGTGTGTTTCTATGATAATCTCGCTCTCCTTTTAACATACATTGCAACTGTATAGAGTATGTCGGCTGCAATAGTATGCAGAACCAATGGTCCAAACGGACGCAGGATATTTGGGGTGGCCCTCACGCACATGTATACACGTAGTTAAAGCAAGTATATCTCCGACTACTGATATTTCAGACCCACGGTCAGGGGCATGTACACTGTACTCTTTTTATTTATTTTTTTTTGCACTATATTCCCCAATGCTCCTGTGTGTAACTTGAATTTTTTCTATGGGGGATTAATAAAGGTATATCTTATCTTATGGATTCCACAAACCTCAGTCAGATATAGGATCAGTGGGTCAGGCAGACTAGACTACCATATTCAGCCAAACAACCACTCTGCCCTGCATGCTCTGCTTGGATGGGGGGGGCGCTAACAAGGGGGATGCATTTTTGATGCAAGAAGGTCCATCTATTGTATCCCTTCTTAACTCCTGTTGATGCATTTTATTGTCACACTTTTCTTGCCATCCACTCTGAGTCCGATTCGCCAAACTCTCAGCATGCCTTCAGCCCTGCCTGTCTCTAATTACCTCCTTAAAAAATCCTCTCCTCTGTTTCAAACAGTTTGAAGAACAAGACCTTGATTCTCTGCTAATAATCCCAATGGGCCCAATTTAGCAACTAATTTAGGCAAATGTTATCTAAAAGACTTTCAGAGGCACAGCTGGCTGACTTCAACCAGGGTACCAATTTCAGGACATGCATGCAGTTGTGGAGGGGGTAAAAGTTGTCCAGTGTGTTGAGGCTCTTCCTTGGGGGGCTGTCCACCCAATTACCCTAAATAGACCCATTATTTTCCGTAAAAGTCCTTGTATTGTAAAACTAGTCTCTCTGGAAAAGGGCTTTTACTGCAATATGCAAATGTAATACAAATCACTACATACACTCCATCATTTTAAAGCAACAGCTCTCTGTCACATTCACACCGGACATGTTCCGCTGAAGACCGGTGGTTTTGTTTGGACCTGCTAGCTAATCAACAGTCCCATAAATATATATTATAAATACCCTAAATGGACTTTCCATATATAATATTCTTCACTGAAGACAGGATCAGATCTGCTGGATGTGATAATTAGATTGCTGAGTGATGTTGAGATTCAAATGAATGAAAAAGAAAGACTGACCTAAGCGAGGAGCTCCGAGACTCCCTGTTTATTGTATTTGGGTCCCTGGTGACACATTTAGTGCAAACACACTTTGATGTGTGGATGAGATTTATTTGGAGTGTGAAAGCAGCAGGAAAATAGCTTGGACAATAGTGTTTTAGTGTCCTGTGGGATAGTCAAACCAACTTGAGTCCGATTTTATTTGCAGAAGACATTTTATATTGAAGCTGTTCATTTTAAACCTAGTAAGAGTAGTAGTATTATTTAAGATAATTATGTTAATCTGATAATAAATTAGTTAATATATTACATGATAACAGGTACAGAGACAACATTCTCAAAACAATACACTTATAGTCCTAAATTGGAAAAACCTGAACCCATAATTATAGAATTAAATAGTCTGTTTGCCATCGAGGTTTCAGAGGATGAGTCATTCATTTTAACTTGATCACTGCTTTAACAGTTGTTGGAAAAACCAAACATTATTTTTACATTTATACTTGTGGGGTTTTTTTCTGCTATGATTATGTTTTTTCCCCCACACATTCTTTTCTTCTGCCTCTGAAGTCTCTTCTGGAAGACCAACTGTGGACAGAAAGCTCACTGAGTAATATTTGTTATGTAGGTGGGAGATGTGATGTGCCTCTTATATTTATAAGTCTTGATTCCTATTTTCCTATTTGTAATTTAAGGCTGTCTAGGCAACAATGTATTTCATTTGTCTTGTGTCAGTTGTGTTTATTATCTGTTTATCTTTGACCCACACAGCGCTTTTCTTTTATGAACCTTTGATTGTTCGTTTCAATCTTCCTGTAAGATTTTAATATTGCTTTTCCTGAACTGTGCACATTACAACGTTTATCTTGTGGTTCGCTAACACAGGCAGTGGTAAGGATAATGAACGGCTATTGGTTCACAGAAAAATCATACATCAAACACCAATTAGAATCAGGTTTAGTCTGAAGGCATCAGCAAGCCGATCATGTGGGTGAGGAAATCTCCATCGATTAAGCTAATGGACGTTCTTCGTGGCTATCAGATGTGTGTTATGTGCCTCATACGGCAGCTATAGTTAGGTGTATAGTAGCACCCTACATAGGAAATTAGATACAAGTAATGAATGGTCTTTGAGTTTATATAAACGATCTTTCCTCTCTCTTTAACAATAATAATTTGGTTCCTCTGAGCTTAGCTGACTCACAGACTCCTGATGAGCTTTAATAACCAGGTTCAAGCTGAAGGAAGTGGGGTTGGCGTCATTATAATAAAGTATTAGCTGAAATTTCTCTGAGACCCATCTGGTGAATTTTAAGTGACCAGAGAATCAGACGTTTCATAACTGAAATGTTATGATCAGAGGATTGCATAGAATAAAAATGCATGTACACACACACATCTTAATGCCCTCGCATCATCTTTTATGAGGTTTACTACAAAGCATAATGTTAAGGTTAGTTAATGTATTAACCTTTGTTTCTATATAAAATTGCCTGGCGGTCCAGATTCAAATATCTCAACAATGAGGTTGACATTTTCGTTTTTCTGTGAAATCTCTCAACAACCATTGAATGGATTATATGTAATGAATGTATAGACATGTATCAGAGGAATCCTAATGACTTTGGTGATCCCCTGGCTCACAGTTTTTATTTATGCTGTTATATCTCTCAACATCTACCGGGTGGATTGGTACAGACATTTGTGGTGCCCAGACGATGTTTCCTAATGACTTAAGTGTTCCTCTGACTATTCCTTAAACGCCACTGTGAGGTTGACATTTGTGGTTTTGATTAAAATGTCTATAGATGAATTGTGAAATGAAATTTAGTACAGATATTCATGGCCCCAGAGGAAGAATTGTAATAACTTTAGTGATCCTCTGACTTTTCATCAACTGTAGTGCCATCATCATTACTTTCTCACACACCATCCCCAGTTGTACCGTGCTAGTGCAAATTAGCAAATGTTAGCATGCCAACACCCTAAACTAAGATGGGGAGCATGGTAAACATTATACCTTACATCAGCATGTTAGTATTTTCCTTGTGAGCATGTGAGCATACTTTCGTTAGCATGTATCTATGTTCCTAAGTACAACCTCACAGAGTCTCTAGCATGGCTGCAGACTCATATTACTGTATGTTTCTCCTCACTGAAAAAATACTTGGTTATTAGACCTCAGATTTTCATCTTCCTCCCTAATTTCTCTTTTGACATTTATAGTGGTTAATGGCAACTTCTTCAACCGCAGCCATGGTTTACCCAAATATCCTAATATTCATGTCCAAACGTGTCTTTAATAGGGGTAAATAGAGTACAGTAAATATTAAGGAGGTAACTAACCATTATACGATATTTAAACCTTTATTTTTCTGTGTGCTCTTCTGAATTGTGAAGTTGGTATTTATTTCTTTCCAGTCCCATCCAGCGAAATCCTGCACTACTAAGTATAACCTATTAGCTCATAATAAATCAGCACCCAAACACCTGTTTACTCTAATTGAGTTGTCCTTGCCTGCAATCATATTTATTAATTTGTTAAATTAGTTTCACATTCTTACAGAACCTCTTTAATCTGTGTCTCTTACCCATGTTGGTACAGGTGCAGACTCCCACAGTGATGTGAGTTCAGTGAGCGGCGGTGTGCCCTGGGACAGCAGAGAGACATCCCTGGCTGCTTCCACGGCCGCCTCTCTGGCCTCTTCCCTGCCTCTGAGGGACGTAATGGATGCAAACGAAGACATTAAGCCAAGAGACCAGAGCGACAGAGGCTCGAACGAGTCTATGGGCAGCGGCTCGTCCTTTGAAGAGCTTGACATGGATCAGGAGGAGCAGGAAGAGGGAGAAGTGAGGGAAGAGAAAGAAGATGGAGAGGAGGAGGAGGAGAAGGAGGCCCCCGAGGGTGAAGACGGCGCTACAGAAGCAGTTGAACTGGTGGCTGAGAAGAAGGAGCCCTTGGGGGAGGGAGAAGAGAAGGAAGGATTCTGAAGAGATAAGGGATGAGGCCATGTAACGCAGGCATGCTAGAGAGTTTCTCAGTTGTTGCTCTTGCTGGTTATCTGTCATGTAATCTTGTTGGTGGATCTAAAGCTGCTCATGCCATGACCAACATGCCGTATTTCTGGGCCTTCTAATTCGTCCTTTTAAAGCCTGTAACTTTTGTTATACTGTAATCTCATTTTTTAAAACTAATTCCTGATTCTATATTTAAACTATGTCAGGGTAGAACAACAGATGACCCCCCACCTCCCTATAGGGTCTTCTTGATGTGCAGCAAATGAGAGGCAAGATTTGTTCATTTCTATATTTCATTTGAAAAAGTAATTGTATGTGAACCACCACCATTCCTGTGCAGATTAGAAGTGGCACTTCAGTTTAAGATTAATATCAAAGACAGACACTGATTCTGGCTACCCTGGATCATCATGCAGAGTCTTTTTGCCCATTTGTGAACGTTGATATTGTATCCCACTTTCAAGGTCATGTCCTGTGGGATTTTTTGTCACGTGTTTGTGTGCGACTTTGGTGTCTTGATATACAGGATTTATGGGGTGAAAATGTGCAGGAGCTAATGCCGTAGAAATTTTGATGGACCTATTTCATTGTATTGTCAATTTTTTTGGGAGAATATCTATCACACAGTGTGAATCCTGAAGTCTGAGGCAGAGAGAAAAAAAAAACACCAGTGAGGACTCTCAGTAGTAAAGTAACACCACAGAAGCCTCAGAGTCACCAGGACTAGGATTTAAAATGCAATTCAGAGATGTAGACTTTTCTCTTGGATACTGTACAGAACATTTTATTGTCTCCCTCTGCGCTCAGATAATTGCTTTAGTTTTTTAATGTAACGTTCACTTCTATAGCTGGTTTGTTAAACCACTCTACAGTTCTGTTTGTAGCCAAAATTCACTCACTTCCAGAGACTAGTTGTGATATGTTTGTAGGTTGAAGTTGTTGGTGCTGTGAGACTTTTGAATATAATGTCCAGCACATTGCCATGGTTGTGTCTTTCTGTCTGTAATAAAATTTTCAAATGAAACGTTCAGTTGGCAGAATCAGTTGTGCAGAGATTTTGTTGTACAAACAATTATATAACCCTTATTCTGTACATATATCTGTTAGAACTGACCTAAATTGTACATTTTATAACAGAAAATCCAATTGAGGAAATCCATTTTTATTCGTCTGCTTCCGAACAGGGACAGGAGATTGTTGTTCAGAAGTTATTGATGAGGCAGTAAGTGCCTAATAACTTATTAAGCTCTCTTTTAAATGCTAACCACTTTCATGGTTTCACATTGTAATGACGGCCTGTGCCGCCGCTTATTTTGGAAAGGCACAGACGTGGAATTCAAAAGCTGAATTAAAGAAAAACGCTCAAGAAAGAGCCAATAATGGCATGATGTATTTTTCAGTACAAGTTAAGAAAATTCAGCAGAGATGTTTAAAGATTTTCTCCTGGCACACTTAAAATGTTTTTTAAAAAATGTGCACAAAATAATACAAATTCGGTTACCTTTAGTAAGCACAAACACACTTAAATTTACTTGATTTCAAAATGTTATTGTATCCGAATCCTGTCACCTTACCAGGAGCTGCATTGATCTGAGCAGCATTTGAATGAGAGGTTTGGCATTTGTGTCACAATTTATTTAATCAGCTGTTTCTACAGCAGAAGAGGAAGAATAGGCTCCAGCCGACTATTGATGTTTGATGGACACGTGTTCTTTAGCCCGTGGTCCTTAATGAGCATCATGACCTATAAGTACATAAGCTTTCAGTTAAATCCAACACCATAATAGGAACAGTACATTTTCTGATTAATACACCATCAACCAGAAAGAGAGAATTGTACCTCTTGTTCCTGGTCAGGCCAATATAACTGAATATTGGTATATTGCACATACACTGATCAGCCATAACATTATGACCACCTGGGCACATAGCAATGCAGCCCCATACCAACAAACTATGACTCACTGTATGTTCTGACAGCTTTCTATGAGAACCAGCATTAATTTTTTCAGCAGTTTGAGCTTCAGTAGCTCGTCTGTTGGATC